GATCAAAGAACTGAGCTTAACTTGACAAAATCTTCAATTAAAATGTGACAGAATGTTGAAGATTCTTGCCCAATCCATGAACGGAAAAGGGTCATATGGAAGGGGCCTGACTTAACAACCTAAAAGTACATTTGCACTGCTTTTATTGTCATTTGTCTTTGGAGTAAAATGGGTACTGGATTCGGTTCAAGTGTTCCCTTCTCCCTGATCTTTCCAGAGTGGTATTATGGATCATATTTGGCAGGGCACTCAAAGTATGAGGCCAGTTACATCAAAAACAACAATCCTGCCAGAAATACGAAGAAATAAATAACCCTACTCAGCACTAGCAGTTACATAAGTGCCATTGCTTTTAAAATGAATGTGCAATATTGGTGGGGAAATGGATAGCCTGTGCTGGCCATTATGCTGATACTGTTATAGATTTAAACCTAATAGGACAGATGTTTGTTTATTCAAAGATGCCACAGAAAGCATAAGCCAACGATGAATTCTCCAGTGCTGGTTTTAAAATGCCAGGCAGTATCACAAAGCAAAGATCAGTGGGTTTTGTTTTGTTTTGAATTTTTAGCCCATCATATAGAAACAGAGAAAGCAAATCTTTAAGGTGATAGTCAGACATGCTTGTTAAAAGCAGGCAGTGGCCAGGAAAATAATCTCCCTATCTGGTATCCAAAATGAACTACATGAAAAGATTACACAGACATTAACATAAATCCAAGACTTAATTGTATATATTCATTTGTTGTGATTTTCTTTGTTGTATTTATACATCCCCCAAATTCAATAAAAAAGGCTCCTTGCAGTTTACATCCTAAAAACAAATTTTCAGAAATTTCAGAACAAATCGAGAAATAAACAATGATGGTATATGTTTTGCTTTTCCTCCAAAAGCTGAAGACAGCAGCCGTAGCATTTTTTTCCTCAATTTTTTTTCTCCAGAATAGCAACTTTGTGAAGTAGGTTGGAATAGACAACAATAGCAACTTGTTTAAAGTCACCCAGTAAACTTCAGTGACCAAGAGTGGATTTTAGGCTAGATCTCCTGAACTTTAGTTCAGTCTTCTAACCATTGTATTGCGGGAAGAAATATCCACCTGGTTCAGTTCCAAGCTGGGAGAAAGACACTGGAAACATGGAGGCTGCTTGGAAAGATGATTTAATGATGAAGCGGAACCACAGGGTTGGTCCTGGGCAGCTGACCAAATGGAGTTGAGAATGGGTGGGTTTTTATACCTTCTTTGGGCTTTGTATTTGAGCTTCCTGGTGCAGTGCAAGAACATGTATTTGATTGGCTGTTGTCAGACTCCCATGGGGCCCCCTAGTGGTTATGTAGGGGTCATAGCTGGCTCTATAGGCAAAGTACAAATCCTAGGTATTTGTCTGAGCTAAGTTTGGCTGAAGTTTCTGAGGGTGATGCAGTGAAGGGACTTGTTGGTCAATTCCTATTGTGTCTTAATGGCTTTGTCCTGAAGGATAATCCCATCTTCCTGGAGCTGAAGGTCTTGTTTTGTAGATAGGCTGGCCCAATGGTGAAATCCAAATTTTTTTACTACCGGTTCTGTGGGCATGGCTTGGTGGGCGTTGCAGGGGAAGGATACTGCAAAATCCCTATTCCCACCCCACTCTGGGGCCAGCCAGAGGTGGTATTTGCCAATTCTCCGAACTACCCAAAATTTCCGCTACCGGTTCTCTGAACTGATCAAAATTTCCACTACCGGTTCTCCAGAACCTGACAGAACCCCTTGGGCTGACCCTATCTTTCTTAATAGGCACAAAATATCTGCTGGGGGCTAAGTCTGCTTCCTGCCCCAGAAAAACCCAACATGTTTCTCTGTTTCTCATTTAGGGATATATAATATTCTGCCTTTTTTTAATATTCCTCAAAATATTTCATTCTTCTAGGAAGGTGGGTGCTGACTTTCTACAGTATCATACAGTATCACAGACTTCTCAAGAGATTCGCATTTCATCAGATCTGTTACTGTATTAACCATTGATCTGTACTCATGAAACTGATCCCATTTAATGGCATGAAACAGCAGCATCACGGATATATATACTATTCCAGATATTTTTTTCTACAGTGCAAGTAATTATTGTTTCATAAGAAGGACAAATTAAACTGACTCATTTGTCTACAATAAGAATGCAAATGGAGATTTTGTTTCAATCTGACACGGGTTGTATAGAATGATGAAATAGTAGGTAGATTGTAAGAAATGAAGGAGGAAAAAAAACCAGTTGTGATTTTCAAATGTTCTAACAGCCTGCTAATACTTGGAGATCACATACTCTGATAAAGGATTCTCTGTATGTCTGATTTAATCTTTCTGACTTAGCTAGGTGTCTGAGGTTTTACAATTTAAATGGTTGTGAAGGAAATGGTTGCAGCCATTAATATCAATGTGAGGCATATTAAAAGAGCTGGAGTGGCATACTGAGTTTGCCACTTAAGGAAGAGCAACCATTAAATACCGTTTCTCCCAAAATAAGACATCCCCTGATAATAAGCCCAATCGGGCTTTTGAGTGTATGGGAATAAGGCCAAGCACTTATTTCAGGGTTCAAAAAAAATATAAGACAGGGTCTTATTTTCGGGAAAACACGGTAATATTACAGCCTCTACTTGACTTGATTAGAAATTTTGCTGAAAACCATAGGGTGGGACTCACAATATCCAAAGGTGTGCCTCATTCTTTTTTTTTAAGTTTATTTTTCTTCATTACATTTCTACACTGCCCATCTCACTGAAGTGACTTTATGTTCCTCTCTATACCACAAAAATAATCAGTGGAAAACCTGCTTGGGTTGCCCGTTATTCTAAGGTGAGGGACTAGACAGCCTTTTTCTGTAACAGCTCCGAGCCTTTACTAATGAGAAATGCCTCAGAATAGTTCTGTTTTCTTCTTGGACAGAGACTTCTGTTTCCATAAGATACTATTATCTTATCACGTTAGACATATATGCCGCTGAGAAACTGTTTAACTATTCCAGCTGCTGCTTTCATTCTTCTACCATTTAAGTGCCATGGGTTTTAACAGGTGAGAGTTTAATCTGGGATTTAAATGCATTGTAAACTGCCTGGGGAGAACTTGGTTTGAACAGCATCATGCAAAGATTTTTTTAAAAATGTTATTGTGGAAAATTGATGCAAAATGCCAATATGTAAGGAAGAGATTGGTAGACAAATCAACAAGAGTCTCTTTAGTCAAAGCCTATTTTAAGCACCAGGTGGAATTACACCTGAAGCTACATAAACAGGTAGTCCTCAATTTACGATCACAATTGAGCCCAATATTTCGGTTGCTGAGGGAAACATTTGTTAAGTGAATTTTGCCCCATTTTACAACCTTTCTTGCCACAGTTAAGTTGTTCAATTAGTAACACTGTTGTTAAGTGAATCTGGCCTCCCAGATTTTTCCAGTAGGGAAAAAATTTGGATTTCTCCCCTGGGATCACATGACCCTGGGATACTGTCATAAATGTGAGTCAACTGCCAAGCGCCTGAATTTTGATCGCATGACCATGAGGATGCCAGTAGGGTCATAAATTTGAAAACTGGCCACCAGTCTCTTTTTTCAGTGCCATTGTAACTTTGAATGGTCACTAAATGAACTGTTGTAAGTCCCTGTACCAAAATATTCTCACTCTATACCTAAGCAAGGAAACCAACCAAATCCATAGTTAGCTCAACTTGGTATGGCGAGCAAAGTTGCACCTGTTCAAACATCCTAAGCCTACAAGCATCATTTCCATGGGATTATGCTGAATTACTCTTCAGGGCAGAGGGAGTACAAGTAGTCCTTGATTTACAACAGTTCACTTAGTGACCATTCAAAATTACAACAGCACTGAAAAAACGACCTTTGACCATTTTTCACACGTATGATGACCGTTGCAGCATCCCCAATGTCCATATCATTTACACTGGGGTGCTTGACAACGGACTCACATTTACGACTGTGTTCCAGGGTCATGTGATGCCCTTTTGCGACCTTCTGAGAAGCAAAGTCAACAGGGAAACCAGATTCACTTAACAACTGTGTTACTGATCTTAAGAGCTGCAGTGATTCAGTTAAGAAATGTGGCAAGAAAAGTCGTAAAATGGGGTAAAGCTCACTTGACAAATTTCTCACAACGTAACAACATAAATTTGGGATTCAATTGTGGTCACAAGTTGAGGACTACCTGTACCTGTATACAGCTCTGTAGCGGACAAAAAAGCTCTACAGAGAATCATTAAAACTGCCCAGAATATCATCGGACTCTAGCTACCAGCCCTGGACGACATCTTCGAATCTCGCTGTTTGAGGAAGTTGCATAACATTCTCAGAGACTCTTCTCATCCTGCTTACAATCTTTTTGGGACTGTTGCCTTCTGGCAGAAGATACGGAACAATTCAAACTCAGACCACACGTCTTCTGAATAGTTTTTATCCCAGAGCTATAATTGCACTCAACAATGAACTAAAGGACCACCGTCAGTGAGCTGTTGGACAATATTACTTGGTCTGTTGTGTGGATGTTTGGGTGGTTTAGAATTGTGGGGAATTGTGGTGGGTGGGGGGGTGTTTGAGGATTGTTATGTGTGTTGGACCTGGTCTTTGGGTGTTAAGTGAATTTCGTTGTATGGGTATACTGTGTATACACATACAATGACAATAAAGTTGTTGTTGTTGTTGTTGTTGTTGTTGTTATTATTATTATTATTATTATTTCGAAATGCCTCCTCATCCCCCTACACACCCTCGGCACCTGTTGCAAGGCTTGCCCAAGGGAGGAACAGAGGCAGCCTTAGTAGCTTAGGGCTGTTGGGGGCGATATTAAAACTAGGCGCCAAAACCAAGGCCGGGCTCGCTAAGGATTTCGCGCGGAACACCCCGCTCGCCGCCTTTCCTCCGTCCCTCTCCGCCCCTGCGCAGTGCGAGCAAAGGGGCGGCCGAGAGCTCCGCAGACCAATTACCGCGCCGAGAGGAGGAGCCGCAAACCCGGGTCCGTCCGCCTCCCGAACAGGGCGCTCCGCACATAGACACATACACAAGCCGGGGAAGGATGGAGGGCGAGCGGGGCGCGTCGCAGTCGCCGCGGCCTGTCTCCTCCCCTCCCCCTGGCGGCGAGGCCACGGCAATCCGCGCCGAGCCGCCAGCGCCCCTCGCGGACTCAGCGCGGCCGCTCCTGCCTCCCTCCTCCCCGGAGCTGCTGGAGTTCGACGACGACGAGGACCTGGAAGTGTTCAGCAAGGTACAGGCGCACGGGGGAGCCTCTGCCGGCTGCTCCCGGAGAGCCCGGCGGCCCTCCGCTTTCCCCGTGGGGCGCTGGGGGTATCAGGGCAGATTCCCTTCGCCGCCTTCCCTGCATTCACACGAACCTCGGGAGCGTCCTGCGGCTTGTCCAAAGTCCCCCCGCGCTCCGCCCTTTACTGTGGAGCTGAGCTAAGCTCGCTTGTCCCGACTGCGCTGGTGGCGGCCACATCCAAGGCTAAGAAAGAGAAAGAAATTAGCGGGGGAAGTTCTTCCCCGGGCCAGAAGTTTGCAAAACACGGCCTGCCCTAACAAGCCTTCGGAGGAAACCACCTTCGATTGAGTAGCAAGAAGGAGGATGGGGTAGACTGGAGTGGACAGACCAGCCCTGGCGTTGGCTTTGTAGTTCCATGAAGGGCTTTCCAAGTTGCCCAGAAGAAGCAGGACAAGTTGGAAGGGATTTGGGATAAGGGAGTGTCCTCTTTAGGAATGTCCTCCCCCTTTCAGGATAGCAATAGCACTTAGACTTATCCCAAAGGTGCTTTGTTTTGGTTTTTTTCTTTGAAGATGTTTGGCTTCTCTTCCAAGAAGCTTCTTCAGTTCTGACAGGATAGTAGGGAATGGAAATATTTATATACCTTGCAGACAGCTGGTCATTTGCATCCTTTTAGAGGGTCGCACTTGGAGGTTTATCTGCACCTCAGTGGTGCTCCTGGTTCCTGTAGGCTGCAATTTTTTTTTCTCTGGAAATCCAATGCTACTCCCACACTATTCAAAGGGTGTTCATCCCAAGGCCAGTTGCCTCCTGATGAAGCACCTTTGGGACAACCATGACCTGAATGACTAAGAATCTTTACAGGCACTTAGACTTATATGCCGCTTCACAGTGCTTTACAGCCTTCTCTAAGCAGTGTACAGAGTCGGCATATTACCCCCAACAATCTGGGACCTTGTTTTACCGACCTCAGAAGGATGGAACCTTGAGCCGCTCAGAATCGAACTCCTGGAGTGAGCACTGAGTTAGCTTGCAGTACTATATTCTAACCACTGCCATCACGGCTCTTATACTGTTTCTGCCGGATACCGTTTGTGCAGCTCACAAAAAATTAAGATCCCAAACAGTTTTCCATAAAGTAAAGCATTCTGTCAGACTACACTTCCCATTGTTCCCAACAAGTACCACTGTTTTGGCCAGGGATAATGGAGATTGGAATCCACCACATGTAAAAGGCAGCAAGCTGCATTTCAATGATCCAACCTAAAGGATGATTTCTGCCAAAGGCCTGCTGTGGGTATTGGCCTCGTTTCACATATTTGCAGGCTGCAGTGGAATTAAATATTTGGGCTCTGCATAGGCACTGTAGTATCTTAATGCTGTGTTTCCATGCTTGGCAGATTAGAGAGAGGGCCTGGGGATGAAGTAGGCTGGGTTCATGGGTTGAGCTGAGCATTTTGAGACTGTTACTGGAGGTAGCTAATGTCCCTTCTTGCTTTTTTTGAGAACAAGATTACCTTAGTAATGAGGCACAGTATAATAGGGAGAGAGAGAGAGAGAGATTTGAGTCTTGCCTTTGGCTTTGTAGTTCTGGCACTGCTCAGGAATTTGATCCGGATTTGTCCTTCATTGTTGCTACTGTGACAGAAAAGACAGGCTCCACAAATCACTATTTGTCACACTAGCAACACATAATTTGTGGTCACCACTGGCCCTTCTTCCATGCACAGAGAATACAGCACGGAACAAATATCTGACATTGCAAGAATCTTTGTTGTAGGACAACAAAAGGAGAGTAGGCTTTGTTTTGAAATGAAAGTTGACATAACAAAAAATTGCCTTCTCTGCTTCCCTCCTGTTGTGCTGAGCTTTAGGAGAAACGGAAGTATTCTCTAGCTGATTTTGCCTGTTCTGAAGCCCAGGACAATGACATCAAATTTGCTTTTCCTCCTGCTAACAACATTTGCAAGATATGCTGACTATGAACCATTGCCAAGACTGGCAAATGGCATTGAGGAGAATTAAGGGAGGTTTGCCTTTGCCAAGATTGCTGGAGCTTTTGCCTCCATCCTACGTTTTATAGGGTATATCTCAGAAACTTTGAAGCCACTCATCAATGGAACTGATCATGTATTGAAATGGACCTAGCAATTCTCAAAAGTTTTCTAATGAGAAAGTGGTTCCTGTTTTTCTACCTTGAGTGCTTCTGAATTTCTTTCAGATTTCTCTTTATGGTGGTTTTAAACTTTATACTTGGAGCTGGGAATGGGGTTGCTATATCATTATTTTACCATATATTCCCCCCCCCCAAGCCTTTCTGATTGGGTTTCATTTCCAACCTGAGAGAAGGGAAGGGGATTCACAGAAAGAGTTCTTTTATAATGCTTTCCCTTGGGATTTAATGAAAAGTTTGGAAACAAGGAAGGGTGCAGATATTTGAAGAGATAATTGTATTATGAAAAACAGGACTTTCACAAACACTCCTTGGCTATCTAGTCATCAGATAGGTGCAGGTATAACTTGTATCTTTGAATGTTCTTCTTTTCTGAAATAATTTCAAAAGCAAATTCTCTTTCATCAGATTGACTGAGAATTACAGTAGTTGGGGAAAATCAGGACTTGGGGATTTATTTATTTATTTTTGTGTATTGCGCTAGTTACATTACTTGGAAGGAGAAGAGGTGTATGGCCAATTTAGTTTCTCTCTTTCTCTCAAGATGGTTAGCATCCTGCAGCTGATTATTAGGATATCAAAGACCTCAGTGAAAGATCATAATTGGAACTGAAAGTTGCACGCAATTTAAATAACTCTCTGGTTCTTCTACTAAATGTTCTCTCTGCTATCATACCAAAAAGAATTGGCTGCCAATTCGCAGAAATCTTCTCTGCTGTTTTCTCATAAATCTACTCCTTATCTGTTGAAAAATCAGGCAAGTTGATACAGGTGCTTTCTGTATGGCTGATGCATTGCATTAGCAGAAGTGTGAAAAACTAGTCAAACAAGTGAAACAAACAATGTTGTCTGTATCTGGGTTGAATTCTGCGAATTGTGTCACCTGGCCATAGGCCTTCAAAAATTTTGTCGTGATATGTTGTGTACTTTATACCCATACAACCTCTCTCAGGATTGTGCAAAGCAGATACACTCAGTATGGCTGTCCATCCTGCATCTCTTGAGAATTTCAAGGATAAGCAGATCAGATGTTACAAACCTTCAAGAAGATCCATTGTCTCCATGAATAACCTTTTGCCCACTTGCAAGGAGAAAAACAGCTGTGGTGACAAGTTAATTCCGCTATGGTTGATTATGTACAAGTGCCATTCAGTTGGTGTCAGCTCTTCATGACCACATACATAGATTTTCTCCATGACAATATGCCTTTAACCTGGTTTTTTAGGTCTTCTAATGTTGTATCTAAAATCTATTACTTCTGTAATTGAGTCTATCCACCTTGCTGCTGTCTCTTTTTCTCTTTCATTCAACTTTCCCAGAATTAAAGCCTTCTCTAGAGAAGTTAGTTCTCATTTATAGTATAATTTAACTCATGTATGTTTTAGGGTAGTAATAAAAAGGCCACATCACAAATACAAGGAATCAGTTCAAAAGTATCACTCTGAGTGGCTTTTACATTCAATCCTAGAAATAATCTCAAAATAAGTTCCATCATGGTAAATGAAACTTAATCTGATTTTGATATCACAATTTGAGCATCGTTGTTCTATATTCTTTGCTTTAGCTCAAGGTTTGATCTGCAGGGCAAATAGGAATTTCTGAAAAAATAAATGTGTGTCTGCAGTAGTTTGTGCATTTGAACCTTTGATCAAAATACCTGGAGCCTTGATGCTAGGCAGGTCTAAGACATGGTTTAACTTCAGTTTATTTACTATTTATAGTTTTAGTTTAAGATTCCTTCTTATGCTAGCAAATAAGATACAGGGTGGAAAACCTGAGGAAATGGAGATCAAATGCCTGAAGAAAATATTTTATATATTTGCCAAAAGGCCATTAGAGGTGCAATGAATTGACTTCTCTCAAGTATATTTGCAATAGAGAGAAAGCCTTTGCCGCCATCCCAGTGACTTGCAATTCAGATGTCAGGAGGATTCAAAAACAGTCTTCAAAACGGGTAGATTATTGCTTGGTTCAAAGAAGCCAAGAAGATGTTAAGTCTTGGGCTAAGATATAGTTTCTTTAAGCATTTTTTCCAATAAATGTGATCCCAAATATTGCTTTTTCATCTTGATTTAGCACATTGCTATTAAACCACACATTTATTTATTCCTTCAATAATGAAAAGGAAATAATGAGACAATAGTGAAGGCCTCAAAAGTAGAGTCTAATAATTATAACCAAAGCCAGTTATATGGTACAACCAACTTGAACAAAGGCAAATACTAAAAATAAGGTATATTTCTGATGCATTATGGGATAATGAATCCATAATTCTCCAGATCTATCTAAATTGCAACTCACAGGCGCCACAGTCAGCAGGACAATTGCAAATAATGGTGGGGCCTGTAGGTCAGCAGTTCCAGAAGACCACATGTCATTGATACAGAGCTTGTAATCTATCAGAAACCCTGATTGGGGGTGTGAGGATTTAGTGATCAGATGGTGATAATCTTTAAATGCATCAAAGATGAATTATTTCCATGATAGATCTGTAATGTAAAAACTTTTCTATGCTATAACATTGTTCTGGTGACTGGTTTGAAGTTAGATGTTCATCAGGACAGATATTACAAATATTAAACCCTAATGTGTTTTCCTAAAAATTAAGGGAAATAACATTCATATTGTAGCTGTACAAGACAACAGACATTTTTCATTCTTGAAACATTGTGCTCAGTTATGTGTATGACAGAAATTTATGCAACAAAATATCTAAAGTCAGCATTTTAGAGATAAGTACTAGATTTGCTATTGAATATGAGCCTAAAAGACATTAATGAATCATTTATGATTCATACATTTCCTAATGTTTAAAAATAAACCCAGTTAATCA